CCAGCATGCCCATGCCACACAATGAATTCCCATGCACTGACGTGACACGGAATTCAACGCAGACTTTCAAATATGAAACACAAACACTCGGTTCCAAAGCGTGTCTCCTTACTTCATTACCTCGACAGAACATCGTGCTTGAAACGGATAGTATAAGTAAAAACGACTATCGCTCACCTACAATTCATGGCCTGGAATCAGTGGATAAGTACTGGGTTCAAGAGGAGCAGGATACTTTTCCAAGTCTGCCACCGTTGAGGCCAAATAGGAGGAGGGGTGATAATATTGAGCTAGGTTCCGTTGAACAACTCAAAGAGTCAGATACTACAAATTTCAATGCACACACTCCGAAAATGAATAATCTAGTGCGCAATTTTAAATCGCCAATCGGTATGCGTTGTCGCGCATTATTCTGAACCTGATCTGACTCGTTGTTTGTTTCTTTAGACATTATATAGACGAAAAATATCCCGGTATACTTAGTACAATGACATTTTTTGTGCTAAAATATCGAGTTATCTCTGTTTCCAACGCATCCTATGTGGTGTTGGTGCTCAATACTGATTGTCGTAAGTACAGTCGAGTTCGAGGAGTGACGACTTTGAGAGAAATTGGGATATGTATACAAATTCCAATGAAGGTCTTTCCCAGATCCTGTGGTGTGAATTTTTCAGAAACGTTACTCTTGGGTTATCTACAAAACCAGATTTCGAATTTTTCTTTCCGTGAGTCGAGAATCTATCCACTCTCGCAGACCTGACTCGGCATTGTCACTGCTTGTTTCCCTGGATGAGCACCCCATCCGACATTTGTTAGTCGTACGTTAGAATGACGAGTGATTTAGGCCGCATGATATTTCAAAGTTCCTGTCCGAGAGGATGTATCTTTCATTTGCACAAATAACCCTGTGCTTTTATATTTTTCGTATTGCAGAGAGACGATCTTGGTCATAGTAAGGTGGTTGACTATATTATTGTCATCAATATCATGCTAAAGTAATGTATGATGGGAGTATCCATTGGCGGGTAAACAAAGGAAGTACAGTGATCAAGGGAGTAGAGGTATGATTCCAGAAGGTAGACGAGGAAAGATACGTAAACTCTGTGGGATTTGTAGTAATGATAAATTTAGATAATGATAATCAATTAAGATGGCGTAGAGCTCATATGAGTCGTGGTGCATAATTTATTGGGTGTCAATGAAACGATCAAATTAGAGATAAAGAAAGGAATTCATTCTCTGAAGGAAATAATGAAATTCATGTTTTCACAGACCAGATGAAACGTACCGCAGGCTTTTGCGTTGAGAGCTAGGTTCGCCAGATATGAGTTAAACATTGATGTACAAATGTATTTCCTGAGTCAATGCTTACCTGAGGATCTTCGTCTTCTCTTCTATCGTGCTTCGCTCTTGACCAAATGATGGAAATGAAACGTGCCACAGCGTTTTGGCTTGAAGGCTAGAGGTGCGTTCTATGAGCATTTATGCATGATTGTACGTGAAGAGCAAGCGCATACACGAGGAGATACTTTTTCTCTTTTATCGAGCCACGCTGCTGCTTTGTGCGCACTGTGTAATCAACAACAGTCTTGAAAATAATGAGATCGCTTGTGCTAAGCTCACCTCAAGACGCGCATTGTTTTCTTGAGAGTAGGACGAGGGTTCTCTTCTGAGTCATAAAGTCAACCCAGGCTTGCTGTTAAGATACAGTAAAGCATATGAGGCTCACTCAGGAAGTCAGTCAATACCTATGATGTTCTCGCTGAATATATTTTTCCAGGCATGTTGGAAAAAGACTCACTCGTGTCATAGACAGAATACCAGCGTGTTCATGGACTTCTTGTGAGTCCTTACAAGCTGAGAGACATACCTTCCGTGCATGAATTCGGTAGATTGATTAAGATGAAGAAGTGTGGAACTCACGACGTTATTCCTAACACCTTTGATACGACGACATTCATCCCGGTATCCGCTACAAATATGTCGCTTTACAGCGGGGGGGTTTGTTCTTTTTTGCGACTCTGGTGTAAGAAATCGGATAAACTGCGATTGTCCGATTCCAGACCAAATTTCGACCACTCGATAAACTGCGAGTGAGTTTTGCAACGAGTGTTGGAGGGGGAATGAGACATACAACGCCGTTTCGCTCGCCGAACTTGAGTATAAAAATTGTCTCCAACACATACTTAAAGAAACGAGAAAGTTTTACTTACTATAGCTCGTTCCCTTGAACACTCGGTTACATCGATGATGCGGTAAGTCTATCACAGTCGGCTCTCAATCTTGAGATATAACAAGTGACTCACCAAGCAAAGTGTTTGAATGGCAGGTGTCAAATATTGCCTTATTGCCCGTTATTACTCTTGCTCGTACACGAAAAACAAAAACCACTTACGGTCAGGCGACTCGCAGGATCTAGAGGTTGCACGAGGCATTTCTCGAGCATCTAAGAGTTGATGACTGAGAATGAACCAGGAAAAATAATCTCGGGGGGTCATACATCGTCGACGATACCATCTTCTCTCCGAAAACCGTTTCCTGGGCATGGACCTTGTTTGAGCTTTTCGAAAGTCTCCGAGTCATGACCAACGCTTGGTAACAGAACTGTTCGCCAGATTTTCTGAGACGATTTCTGCGCAGAGATCGATGATCTGTCACATACATTCGTCCTTCTTATCCTCCTCGTTAATATCGGTCTCAGTGTCGAGTTGAAACGAGTGGCCAGCGACTGTTATTGCCACACAGCTTCAACCATTGAGCAGACCGAGTGAAGAGATGGCCTCACAGAAAAAGACGTATTGGTCCCCAGGCTTTTGGCCTTCATAAAAGGTTTCAAGACACCTCAACTGACGTCCATTGAGAAAAGGTTAGCAGAGTTGTCGAGTAAAGGTAGGGGGCTGATACAGACAATGTTTTCCTTCGACGGATGTCGTGTAGGCGGCGTCCCCTCTTGATCAGTCAGGACGGTGATAAGGTCCTCTTTGTAATCGTATTTAGCTACATCATTGATGTTGATCAACGGAATATTGAGTACAAGAGAAGGATTTACTGATAAGCAGATCCTTAAGTCGTTCCATATCTTGTTGTGGGCCGGTCAAGCGAGAGCGGTGTGGTTTAGGGAGATTGGTATGGTTGATTGCAATGAGGAGTGCTCGTTTGGTAGGCTCTCGAGAAGGCGCTGGTTGCGATGGTCTCTCAGAACACGTCCTCCGTATCTTGTGCCAAGCGGTGGCAAGCTATGGGAGGAAAATGTCGCAAGCCTGTTTGCGCATGATGCATGGATGACTTACTGGTGAGATGTATCTTGCAGACTTGGACGTTGTCAGCATAGAATGGCGAGCTGAGTGAACAAAGAGGGTTATTGCGATTGTGGTGCAGGGAATATCAGACGTTAGCATATGTTTATATAATGAGTCAATTTGCAAGGGCTGAGCAATTGCTATGCACGTCATTGACCCAGGGGTTGACATGGACATCCTTGATCACGTTTCCTATCGAAAGGTTTGAGAGGATCAGTTTTCAACGCAACCATTTCAGGTTGGAAAGGAGGTTGAAAGTTGAATGTTCTATTGTGCGGTGTTCGAAAGCTAGATGGATGGATGATGAAGAAGTGACTACTATCCCTTCCTTCGCGGATCATCTACGGGGGTGGGGTATGCGAATTTGGAATTCGCCCAAAGATCACGGGTTCCGAGTTCCGAAGTTCTCAAGCGGGAGGGAAACCTCATATTATGCTTGTCCTATTTCTTTCTCATGTTCGAATTTGTATCGTAAATGTCAAAGAAACAACCAGGAATTAATTAGGTCCCGAATAACGATTTTCACCAAGCAACGATCTGCGTTGTCCCACCCGACTAAACAGATGAAAGAATACACAGCCTAATAAGAAACCGTTTTCAAAAGAATGTACCAAATACCCACCTGTGATTTTTCCCCACAGCGCCGAGTCACGCTCACTGCGCACGTGCGAACTTGAAAGAAACTGATTTCAGAGTATTCCCTCCAAAAACAAAGAGAAAAAGGCCGTGACCTCGCCGACCAAACGGATGAAAGACCCGGAACCTGATAAAAACCAGTGTCAAAAACAATATACGACGCGGCACCAAGTACCCACCTGTCATTTGTCCGACATTGGCCAATCACGCTAATTCAGCGCACGCGCGAAAACAGCCATTAGTTTCTCCCAAAAAAGAGGGAAAAAAAGGGGGGGGGGGGGGGCCGGCGCCAATCGCAGGCTTAGGGAAGAATTAGAAAGGAACGAAAAGGCAGGGAACGGCCGGCCGCCAAAATCACTCACTATGGAGTGGCCGCCCAAACGCCGTGGTGCACAGAAGGATGTCCTGCCGCGCTGATCTCCTAGCCCTACATGGCCATGCCTATTCTCACTCCGTCTCGGTGAAAAGAAGCTAAATGGCTGTTTGAGTCACCCAAAACCATGCTTCCATATTATAATTATCACAATGTCTCTTGTCTTTAGGCGCGTAACTGATTTTTCAGTTCCGGATATAGGGTGGGAACGAGAGATGAAACAAAACGCGGGGGAAGCTGAACGTGGAGTGTGGCTATGAACCCCGTTCACGAATTATTCTTGAACTGGTATTAAAAAGACAGGATCGCTGCGGAGATTGTCGGTTGTGAAGAGAAAGAGGGTTGGTTATGGAGGATAGACTCCCAAAATAGGATGTTTGCTGAGCCATTTGGATGTCAAGCGGCAGCGGGTACGGAGGTCCTCGTCTGAGGATGAATGACCGGGAAGCACTGAAAGCGCGTCGTTAGATGAACTCCCAGACCAGATGATACGTGACATCGCCAAAGTGACCTAGTCGAGGGCGTTGGGCCCATCCCACCATGCAAGGGAAGCTGGCACAAGACTGTGCTGATACTTGTTTCCGTTTTGTTCAAAGACTTGCGACTCTGGACCGAGCTATCTTGAAAGCAGCCCAAAAAAGAAGAAAGGTTAACGTGAAAAACAAGAAATATGTGGGGATCAAGCACGACCATGATGAGAGGGAGATTCGAACTCCCGCCCCCGAAGAGACCAGATTGTAGGACTTGGCTTATGACTGCACCTTAGTCTGGCGCCTTGGACCGCTCGGCCATCTCACCATGAGGAAGGGGAGCTGGCGCGAGATTGTGGCGGGTGGCAATGCTGGTTGTTGCTGGAGGTTGTTGAGGGGGTGAGTGTGACCTGGCCAGGACTGGCGCTCCATGCGCGCTAGAGGACGGGTTGGAGCTGGGAACTAGGTGCAATGACTCGTTCGAGATGGAGAGATGCTTTGTTCAGGGTGAGCTAAAGTACATGTGACAAGGACATCATTGTTTCTAAATTGAGGTTTCACTCGAACAGTGATATGGAAGCATTAGCCCTTGCCCACCCCGCGCACAGCACTGGCCTTGACTAGGACTATCTGTAGTCTGTGATCGGACCAGCGGCTTGAGATTGTATATAAACCACGTCTGCGTTTGCTTCCGTTTTATTTATAACTTTACTTCTACTATAACACAGTGCTCGAGGCGCAATGCCGCCCTCTCCATCATCATTGCCGTCTGCGCTCCCCGCCACTCGCAGCCGTCGCACAATCTCCTCCACTCTCAACCCAACCACAACCACCAAGCACACCTCCCGCCCTCGTTCTCTCGCGTTACCTTCACCATCACAAGACCTCGTAGCCAGCCCAAGGGGCCTGACAACCTCTGTTATCCCACCACGCCCTTCGTCTGCCCAGTCGGACGTTGCAAGGAGCAGCGTCGACAGCCTCAAGGAGCAGGACAGATCGGTGAGCTTGAAGCGATACAGCGAGGTATCGACGCCGCCGATGGGAAGCCCCGCGAACTGGTGGGGTGGGAAAGAACAAACTGAAGAGCATCGCCCGTGGAGGGACCCGCCAAAAAGGAAGAACACGGTTCCTGAAGCACAGTCAGAGGGGTGGCTCCATACACGCCAGGTGGGTTTGGATTTGCTGTCAAGGGTTCGGAAACTGATGAACGCGTAGAGAGTGGGACAAGCGGCGGCGTCTGTCCTAGGTACAGCAGCAGACATTACACACGATGTCTTGTTCAGCAGTATCCCGCTTCTTGAATTCGCTCCAATCCCAGGACTCGCTCCTGCCGCCCATGTCCTCCTTGATATATGGGACGCGTTGCAATTAGTCGACGTGCGTTGTGTCTATTTTTCAAATCGTTTTCCTAACCGACGAGTCATGTAGACAAATCGCTTACAATGTCTCCGGCTGACCAACCGTTGTGCAGACATCCTGCTTTCGGTAAGGGAAGAAATCAAAGAGGCCGGCGATCAAGTCGACGAAGAACTTCAGGCCCCCATTGCCAAACTCACAGAGTACGTCCTTCTCATTTTATACACCCGTTCGAGTGCGATGCTGTACCAGAATATCCATATCACCCTCGTATACCTGTACCCCTCCCAGACACTGACGCCCCTTCCACAGATCATACCACATTGTCCAATCCTTCCTCATCAAACAAGCCCACCGGCCCTTCCTAAAGCGGTACCTCAAGCGTGACGAAATCCAAGCAAAGATCCGCGCGTGCCACGGGGGCCTCACAGAGGCACTCGTCATGCTCGGGCTCAGCATCCAAATCCGCATCCTGCGCAACGTGCAGGAGGCCGAGCGCGAGCGCCGCGCCGACCAACGCGTCTTGATTGGGATGCTGACCGGCGCGGGCGCATCCGCGGCCGCGCGAGAAGGAGACCAGAACGTCGTCGGGCTCGGCCTGAGCGGGATGGAGGCTCCCGCTCTGGACACGAGCGAGAGTGCGTCGACTGTGAGACCCGTATCTCCGTCCGGGCTCAAGACGCCCACGCTCTCCGTCGCGTTTCCCTCCCCGTCCCCCTCGCCCACCGCATCACCCATGTCCACGCCCACGCCCACGCCCACGCCTACGCCGGGCTTGGCACTAACGCCATCCCTGACGCTGTCGCCAAGACCATCACCACCGCGCACGCCACCCGCCCTCCAGCCCACGCAAGTCCTCCCTGAGCTGCAGACCGTGCAGGCCTCGCAGGACGCCCAGGACCTCGCGCACGACAGCGAGGACCTGCGCACGCTCATACGTGCCGCGCTCCGCACAGGGAGCGACGTGGAGATTTTCCGGCTGCTGCAGATTGCGAGGGAGGAGATGCCAGAGGCGATCAAGACGCTGCAGAGGGCGCTGGAGCGCGTTGGGGACGGGGGCGCGACTGCACCTGCGGCTGCGGCTGCGATTGTAACTGCGAGTGCGGCGAAGAAGGAGAACGGGGGGGTGAAGAATGCGGAGAAGGAGAAGGAGAAGAAGAGATGGGGGCTGGGACTTAGAAGAACGCGCGCGTCGTTGTCGTTGTCGCCGTCGGCTGGAGGTAGGACGAGTCCCGGGTCAAGAGGGAGCCTCGACGTAAGAACAGCGACCGACGCGCCCGGCACCGGTGCGAACACCGTCACGAACAACGACACGTGGGGTGCAAACACCGACACGCTCGACCGCGAGTTCATCGAATCAGGAATCGACGCGCTGCGGCGTATGTCGCATAGCGCAGGGATCACGATGTCCTCGCTGCCCTCATGGACGATCACGCGGTACGAAGTCGACCGCGAGCAGAAGATCGGCATGGGGTTCTTCTCGGACGTCTACCGCGGGACATGGCGCGG